CTTCCTTTGCTTGCTCCACTATGTCCGTGCTTACATGTGTTCTGCAGCCAGCGTCTGTGCAGGTCGAGATGCCGAACTTGCCTCCGGCTCCCTGGCTGCTGCGCCATCGGCCCCCGAGTGACCCATTGTTAGTGTGTCGTTTTCAATTCAGTGTTGACAGACGCACACTTCCGCAATGTTCATTATGCTCAATGCAGCTTGTGTGGATATCTGTGCATGGACAATGCCGTATGTGCCCAACGTTGGAAGCCTGTCCCGCTTCTTGGAGAAGCTGGATGTGCTGCAGCTTCGAGAGCTGCACGGGTTGCTCCACCTTGGCATTCCATGGGTCGATCATTTAGCTGCCATCCGTGTGATTCGGATAGATACTTCTGCATTGGAAAGTCGTACTGCCTCAGGTCATCCTTGAAATGACCTTATACCTACTCATCCTGCAAAACATGGAGAATGGGCTCATTCAGGCTCTCGATGGCTGAGTGTCTGTAGATCTTTCTTTCATGTGTGTGCCGATTGCCTTCTGCAGGACCTCCCAGGTTGCTTGCAGTGTGTGGAATTCTTTGCTGGTGTGGCGTCCATAGCTACGGCCTTCTCTGCCCAGGGATACAACGCCAAGGCAATGGACTTCAATCGTTGCCTGTAATTTCAAGACGCATGATCAACTGTGCCACGCAGCTGATCCTCTTGCTGCTGATGTAGTTTGGCCACTCAGGTTCTCAAATGCATGATATGCTCCACCCTCCCGGCATCGTTCTCTGCTTTGCTTCCATCCTGGCTCTGGAGCCAGGAGGTTTGGCGCACTTTGCCACAGTCTGCACCAGCTTTTGCTGGACCAACAGTGGAACGCATCAACGCACTAGTTTCAATCCTTTGGGCGACGAAAGTAAGGAGTATATACGTGAAGGCTCACAACTGGCAGAGATTACATCTGCTTTGATGCTTTTGGCCTGGTGCAAGGGTTGCTGGGTTACGCTGGAAAATCCAAGATGCAGCAAACTAGAGATCTACCCATCCATCCAAGCAGTGGTGCAATTCCTGCTTGACCGAGAAGCTGACGGCTTTGAAGGAACAGCCCTTCTCAGGCATCCCATTTGTTTGGGTGATTTCGGGGCTCCGTCCCAGAAGCCGGTTTGGCTTTATTCTACATACGACCTTATGTCCACCTTCAAGGAGGCGGCTCGAAACGGTTCGCCTCGCAGATCACGCAGTACCGATGACGGTGTAACGATCCGGTGTCCTGGTTGCAAGTGATTTTCTGGATGCGATGAACCATACTTGTTGACCTGCCCCAGAGGTACAAAAACGCGGTTGGACTGGAAAAGGTCCATGGAGGACCTGGCCTCAAAAAGAGTCAAGAATACCCAAAGAGGCAAGTGCTGCAACTCACCTACCTGATTATGCTTGTTGCTCAGTACTGCAACTAACGCCGATTCTGCATCCGCACAGGTTTGGTCAGGTCTTTGCTGGCTGGTGGGTGAGCCATCGTCGTGAAACGAGAAAGCAAGGGACACTCTTCATGTTACCTCCTGTGGTGTTATATCTGCATTGTGCAGTGAATCCCGAACTGCTCTAGGATGAAGCGGCGAATCCAAGCTTGGAAAGCTAGTGGAGATCTATCTCCCCAGCAAATGAAGGCACATCCATCCACGCTTCCAGCGACCCTATCCTTTAGATTGCACGTCTGTGTCTGCAGGACCAGATCCTGGCACATGCGACAGACACAGCGCTGGACTTCGGTTTGGGCGGTGCTTTGCAGTGGTGCCGTTCTGGGCTAAGTGATGGCCTGTGACTGCTGTCGCATGGATTCGAAAAAGGTTTGTGAAAACAACATGGTTCCAGCCGCTCTACTATACGATCACTGCCGCAGCTGCTACCCGTGACTTACCCGTGACTTGAATAACCGCTGGGACTTATATAACTCTAGCGCTACCGTGACTACCCGTGACTACCCGTGACTTACCCGTGACTTGAATAACCGCTGGGACTTATATAGCTCTAGCGCTACCGTGACTACCCGTGACTACCCGTGACTTACCCGTGACTTGAATAACCGCTGGGACTTATATACCTCTAGCGCTACCGTGCCTACCCGTGACTACCCGTGACTTACCCGTGACTTGAAAAACCGCTGGGACTTATATAGCTCTAGCGCTACCGTGACTACCCGTGACTACCCGTGACTTACCCGTGACTTGAATAACCGCTGGGACTTATATATCGCTACCGTGACTACCCGTGACTTACTCGTGACTTGAATAACCGCTGTGACTACTATAACATTACTAGTATTACTACTATACTGCTACTACTACTACTACTACTACTACTATACTACTACTACTACTACTACTACTACTACTACTACTACTACTACTACTACTACTACTACTACTACTATACTACTACTACTACTACTACTACTACTACTACTACTACTACTACTACTACTACTACTACTACTACTACTACTACTACTACTACTACTATAATACTACTACTACTACTACTACTACTACTACTACTACTACTACTGCTACTACTACTACTACTACTACTACTACTACTACTACTACTACTACTACTACTACTACTACTACTACTACTACTATACACTACTACTACTACTACTACTACTACTACTACTACTACTACTACTACTACTACTACTACTACTACTACTACTACTATACTACTACTACTACTATACTACTACTACTACTACTACTACTACTACTACTACTACTACTACTACTACTACTACTACTACTACTACTAGTACAGGTTTGCCGATCCTCCGGCCCCTAGCGCCAGGGGTGCCGTTCCTCCGGCCCTGCTCTTCTACTAGTACTAGTACTACGAAAACCTACGCAGTGTAACAACCATAACCGGACCATAACCACTATACGTACCGTCCTGGATGCCAGGACTGCATAACCGCTATATTTACCGTCCTGGATGCCAGGACTGCAAAGATCTACTTGCAAAACTGATAAACTATTTATGTGCTGTGTATGCAGAAGCTGAAGCCCCGAAAGCCCAAGCAGTGTTTGCAGAAGCTGAAGCCCCGAAAGCCCAAGCAGTGTTTGCAGAAGCTGAATCCCCGAAAACCCAAGCAGTGTTTGCAGAAGCTGAAGCACCGAAAGCCAAGCAGTGTTTGCAGAAGCTGTAGTAGTAGGTGAAGGTTTGGCTGCTTTGCGCCACCCCTCCGGAGGCAGAGAACGGCCGTTGGCACCTCGCCACGCCACACAAGTTCATTAACACCCTTTTCGTACGGCCAGAAGCTGAAGCACCGATTGCAGAAGCTGAATCACCGAAAGCCAGGCGGTGTTCGCAATGCTGCAGCCGGTGGTGCTCGAGATTTTGGATCCCTTGCCTCCAACACCATGAAGAAAGGCTTCTTGCTGCCGAAAAATGATGCGAAGACCGAGAAACCCAAGAAGACGCGGCCACCCGAGAAGACCGAAAAGGATGATGCTCTTCAACAGCCGGCGGTCTCGAGCTCAGCCGCCGCCGAGGTTCCGAAGATCTATACCCAACAAGAGATCAACCACTTCGTGAAGCAGCTGGAGACAATGAGACGTTGGGGAGGGGACGACTTCACCTATGTCACGGAATCGGGAGAAATCTTCGGCAAAGGAGATCTGGAAGAGATTGTTCGTCGCTATGGACGATAGATCGCTCTGTGCACCCGCGGCGGATGAAAATTGAATTTCCTGCCTTGGTTGGCTGCCCCAAGTTGCTCAAATGTATTGCTTTAGGTTGCTGCTCGCTTGGATCTTTGCATTCCGCTTTCTGTTGCTGCGTGTTGGTCAATGTCAGCATGGCAGCATCTTTTGTATTCAAGGTGTTTGGGAAGGGGCTCCCGTAGGCGGCCCTGGAATTCCAGGGCATGGCGAACGACCCCATGCGAGTGAAGCTGGAGCAGCTTGACGCTCTTTCGGGAGAAGCCGAGAACGACCCGGCGAAGTTCGGGCGGCTTCTGAACACCGCTATGAGGGCGGGGGCTGCTGCTGGCGGAGTGGCTGGGCAGGGCTTTTCGGACACCTTCCTGCAGGACCATTCGGGGTCAGGGAACTGGAAGAAAAGCAAACAAACATGCTGCCGCCTATCTAGGACACTCAGCAGACGGAGGCCACGATCGACGCGCAAGAGGAGCAGGACCTGATGAAAGAACTCGAGTCTCAGCTCTACGGCTGCGAGATGGACATCTCCTCCCAGGACTTCAATCCCGCCAAACCCATCCTGTTTCCGATACGCGCCATATCTGTTTCCAGGACGCCCAGCCGACCCAGTACGATCTGCCACCTGCTGACTTGCAGACAGAAGGACATCCATGACTCGCGTTTTGTTGCAGCTTCAGTGTGCACATGTTCTGGTTTGTTTCGATCACAGGTACAAAGGATGGCTTTCATGCCACGTTGGAGCATCTCATGCGTGAGGTCGGGCTCGAGGAACGCGAGGATGATGCGATCAGAAAATCTCCAAAGCGAGAGCTTGAAATTGATTTTGCCAGGGTCGCCAAGGAACTGGAGGATGAAACCATGTTGGCCAAGGAACATGAGGAAGCTGAGAAAGCCAGCAGAATGGCGAAGGAAAGGGAGGAAACTGAGAAAGCAAGGTTGGCCAAGGAAAAGGAAGAAGCTGAGAAAGTAAGCAAAATGATCAAGCAAATGGAGGAAGCTGAGAAAGGCAGGTTGGCCAAGGAAAGGGAGGAAGCCGAGAAAGCCATCAGAATGGCCAAGGAAATGGAGCAAGCCAAGCTGGCCAAGGAAAGGGAGGAAACTGAGAAAGCCAGGATGGCCAAGGAAATGGAGGAAGCCAAACTGGCCAAGGAAAGGGAGGAAGCTGAGAAAGTCAGGATGGCCAAGGAAATGGAGGAAGCCAAGCTGGCCAAGGAAAGGGAGGAAGCTGAGAAAGTCAGGATGGCCAAGGAAATGGAGGAAGCCAAGCTGGCCAAGGAAAGGGAGGAAGCTGAGAAAGCCAGGATGGCCAAGGAAAGGGAGGAAGCCGAGAAAGCCATCAGACTGGCGAAGGAAATGGAGGAAGCCAAGCTGGCCAAGGAAAGGGAGGAAACTGAGAAAGCCAGGATGGCCAAGGAAATGGAGGAAGCCAAGCTGGCCAAGGAAAGGGAGGAAGCTGAGAAAGCCAGGATGGCCAAGGAAAGGGATGCCAGGTTGGCGAAGGAAAGGGAACAGTTCAGGCTGGCAAGATTGGCCAAGGACAAGGAGGAGGCCGAACATATGAGATCGGCCAAGGACAAGGCCAAGGAAAAGGAAGACGCTGATAAAGCCAAGGTGGAGGCCGTGCGACTTGTAAGAAACTAAGAAACCTTAACCCCTAAACCATAAGTATAAACCCCATAACCTAGAACCTCAACATTAAACCCGAAGCCTTAACTCCCTAAATTTTATACAACCCTAAACCCCAAAGCCTAAATCCGCCACTGTCAGGTCGACATGGCAAGACAGGCGACAGAAAAATACCAGGCTTTGCCGATGAACGCGACAAAGTTGCAAAAGCTACAGCTCTTGCAGGACATTATGGCTACTGGGGATGAGGGTTGCAAGCAGTTCTGCAAGGATGAGCTTGCAAAACTGATCAAGCCGAAGGCAGCAACGCCAGCTCCGGCCCCTACCAGTGATGCCGATCCTCCGGCCCCTACCACAACGGGCGCCGATCCTCCGGCCCCTACCACCAGGGGTGCCGATCCTCCGGCCGCTACCACCAGGGGTGCCGATCCTCCGGCCCCTACCACCAGGGGTGCCGTTCCTCCGGCCCCTAATGCCCCGACCTTTGATGATGTCAGTGCGAAGATGGGTTGGTCAAGTCCTGCAACCCCACGCATGGTGGAGGCACCTGGTACGCCATCTCCTGCAACGCCTGGCAGTGCAATCACAACGCCTGGCAGTGCAAAAACAACGCCTGGCAGTGCAAGCGACGGCTTGGTCCAAGGTTCTGCGCCACTCTACAACCGAAAGAACGCCGCCATGTTCTTGAATCGCCTGAAAGGCAACCCAAAGAGGATGCAAGCCTTGCCTGATGACTTGGCAAAGTTGGTGCGGGACGAAGATTCAAAGAGCAAAGCCATCGACTTGATCGTCGCTGCAGGAGGAGACGAAAATGAGCTGGTCGGGCAGTGGACTGCATCGTCCATTTCTGTGGGGACGGACAAGGAAAAGGGAAAGATGAAACCTTTGACGGAACAGGAATTGATCGGCAAGTACGGTGCGGTCAATGCTGCGAAGGTGATGGAGGAAAAAAGGAAGGCTGGTTTGGAGGTTGATGATCCCAATTGTAAAGGGCTGAAGCTTTACTTGCACAACGAGTGGCAGAGGGAATGGACGAGAGGCACAGAAGAACGTTTCTTGCTTGCATTCATACATCGTGCATGCAGTTATGTTCGACTTCAACATTTATGTAGCATTCGTGCATTCATGCGAACGGAATCCGAGGAAGCAGTTTCACTGCTTCCGGAGAAGTTCGTGCGGGTGACGCTGCCAACGTTGCACAAATTCTCAGTGTGCCCCGGCGGGCGCTGACAGGGCCCGGCCAGGATGATGAGGACAATGTGGACATGGAGGAGGACCCAAAGCCACTTCCGAACAAAAAACCAAAGAAAGCCAGGAAAAATGAAGCCAGCGGCAAAGAGAAAGAGGAAGACGGTGAAACTGAGCCGGAAGCACCACGAGTGGAGAAACTTACACCGCTGGACAAGGCGGCAGACTTAAGGGGGCGGGCCCTCTCGAAGGCCAACCACGCTGGCTCGATGCGGAAGCAGTTGAAAGGAGTCAGCTATGCGACTGAATGCCTCAAGGAGATGACCAACTTCGAGCAGGAGTTCCAGTGCCTTGGCTGCATTGATACCTACTAGATTGTTTTATGAGCCTCTGCCCCACAGGGCAGGTACCCTGGTCTAGCCATATGAACAAGAAGTCTTGACAGACGCTCATGTGGCCCCATCCCAGTACTATACGGCCAAGGGCGATCTACGACCAGGTGGACAAGCTCATCTCTGAGCTGGTCCACGATGATGGGGTCTATCTTCCCATTGCTACCAGATATCTCGATATCGCGAAGCGTTATGAGAGGCCCAGCAAGGTAGCAAACAGCTTGATCCGAGCTGCGAAGGCGACTCCGAAGGATCCAACCGCGCCCAAAGGATCGGCTAAAGCCAAGTCCAAGAAGCGCAAAGCCGCGGAGGGAGCCTAGAAAGAATCTTGGCACCCGGGGTCGGTGCGCAGATGGGCATGTCGTGCTGTTCACGTATATTAGAATATATTAGAATACTCCAAGGTTACTGGTAACAGATCCATCTGGATTTTGCACATCTCATTTTCTTCCAGTGTCCGACACTGATAACGTACAGTCGGTGTAGGGTCCTCGCCCAAGGGCTCGAGGACCCAAGCCAGTGCTCTCGACGGAGCCTAGAAAGAATCTTGGCACCCGGGGTCGGTGCTCAGATGGGCATGTCGTGCTGTTCACGTATATTAGAATATATTAGAATACTCCAAGGTTACTGGTAACAGATCCATCTGGATTTTGCACATCTCATTTTCTTCCAGTGTCCGACACTGATAACGTACAGTCGGTGTAGGGTCCTCGCCCAAGGGCTCGAGGACCCAAGCCAGTGCTCTCGACTTTCACAATCCTTGGGGAATCGATCGTCGCTCTGGTGCCAAAAATTGCTTGCTGCAGATGCCCTGACGGGGTTTCACGTGATGGGGTGGAAGGAATGAAAAACATTGTTGCCAGGTACGTGCCCTTGACAGAGTCTGGTCGGCCTGCCTTTACAACACGTCGTCGTGGGATGCTGCTGGGACCGCAATATATGCAATAAGCATAAACACGCCACTGGAGCAAGGACCGCAGATGACTTTGACTCCGCTGGTGCAGCTTTACTGGCCCAGCGCATGGGTGCTGGAGACTCTTGACTTGGATGTATCCAAGCACGTCAGCTATATAGTCCGTGTGCAACACTCTTGGACCTTGCAGCCAGAACACACATTCTGAGGCGATACCTGTGGCCGAAACAAGCAGAATAGCATCTGCCTTCCGGCGAGATGGGGCATCTGGACTTGCCCTTTCACAAATGGCAAGCAGCGAACGGGAGAGGGATTTCTTCCGCTGGATGAAGTTACCCATCCAGCCCCTGCTGGTGGATTTTCCTGTGTGGAGCAACACCAAAGAACGCAAGGACAAACAACTGATATTTGAGAAAACAGCTTTCTGTCTTCCCAGTGATGTTCTCTGCGAGCTTTGCAAAAGATCACTGGTGGAAACCTGTCTTATTTGACATTCGCACCTCGGCCCGCGCCTGATTGCTTGGTTCATTGTTGGTGCATGTATTGCTCATGGACGCACATTTCCTGCTTTGATATCTCAGGTCAGTAGATGAATGGTGGAAGCAAGAACGGGACCAGGTTTACATACGGGAGATCTCCCGGAACAATCCCAACTACCAGGACATGCTTCCATTACGCTTTCATGAGGATGGTGTACCAACAACTAAGAGCGAAACATGCAACTTCTGGTCTTGGACCACGCCTTTGGCTAGCCGCGGAAGCGAGATCTCTCGCTTCTGTCCCTCGGAAATTTTCGATTAGCAATATTCTTTTAGTTGGACAACAGAGCTAGCTGACCATATACATATATATATATGTATATGATGGACAACAACAATTAAAGGCATTGTTGGTGTCACGAACAGTCGTGTCGCGCCCGAAACGAGACGCTGCATCGCTGACATCATCGCTTGGGATCTTCGATCACTGGAACGTGGCGTTTTTCCATCCTGCGACCACAACGACGTTCCGTGGCCAGCTGGCTCAGCGCGAGCCCAAAAGATTGGCCAAAACATTGGGATCCGAGCATGCTTCTCATATTGGGCTGGAGATATGGAAGCTCATGCAAAATCACACAATCTTCAGAGGCACTATAACAAGCCTTCGATATGCGATTGGCGTTGGGCATCGAGCCGGGACAAACAGCTGACTTTCACAGACTTTTCTTCGTCAGCTCTGTGGCGCTCTACATGCAGCTACCATGAGCCGCTGCCACACCAAGAAGAACGATCTGTTTGGTGCTCAGTCAAGGGCTTCACCAAGCGCCGCCGCCTGTTTGACAGCCTCTAGGTCGCATTAACAGCATTCCTGGATGGCTTTTTTATGGCTGATAACGTACAGTCGGTGTAGGGTCCTCGCCCAAGGGCTCGAGGACCCGAAGCCACTGATATAATATTTTGGCTCGCCGTGGGCCGCCTCTGCCATGTGCTTCTTTTAGCTGAGCATTTCAGGGTGAGTGCCCCCGGCCTGTGTACACTCACAATGATTAGCGATCCGTACGGCTTTTGGTTATGTAGTGCTCGAATACTGTAAGATGCACTGCTCAACCAAGTTATGCACCTCGCCCATCTGGGTTACATCCGGGACCTTGTGGCTTCCATTCTGGTTGAGACCGTGAGATCGGGCGAGATGGCAGCTTTCTTGCAATTCGATGGCAGCCCAGATCAGCTTCTTCACAGGTGGACTGCGGAAGCCCAAAGTTTCTGCAAGGATCGTGGCCTGGATTGCTCGATGAAGCCGCTGACGTGGGAAACTTTACATGCCAACAAGAAGGCTATCTACCCTGAGCTCACAAGCCGTATAAAAGCAAGTCGGACCAGAAACTTGCTGGCGTTTACCGCTTATTACTGCTGTCAACTGGAAATACTGGTGTCTGGTGACGCACCCTCAGACACGGTGCATTGGTCGAGGTGCAGGGCAACGATGGTATGGTGCTTGGATGCAGCATTGAGTGTTGGGGGAACTGGCAGTAAACCCTTTCTCAAGCCAGAGGAGATTATCGAATCACAATGGTGTTTCGATACGTTCCTTCTGAGTTATGCTCACGCTGCTGCACGATTTCATCGAAAAGGCATCTGCTTGTACAAACTTCGGCCGAAGATGCATTACACGCAGCATTTGGTGGATGAGCTGCCCTGCCACAAGCTCAACTTTTACCATGCTGCGAATTTTTTGGACGAGGATCATATGAAGTTCCTCAAGATTGTTTCGGCCGGCTGCCACGTGACTTCTCAGCCTCGCACCTGGGCAAGACGTTACCTGACGAAACAAGTGTTTCTCTGGCGACGCTTGCCCGGGGCGACGGCGAAGAAGAAGCGCCGCGTCGCCGAAAAAAAAGAGGACGCCGCAGGTCTCTTAAGGGTTTTAGGGTTTAGGGTTTCCAAAGTTGGGGCTTCAGGTTTGGGGGTTGAGGGTTTAGATTTCGGCTTAAGGAAGAACTTGCCACAATGCAACCAAACAACATTCCATAGTCCCGAAGCTTGCAAGTTTAGGTTCCAAGTTTGAAACCGCAAGGGCCAAGGCCTCCCCAAAAAAAGGGAGGATGCATTCACATATACACCCCTTAATACCGATATTCCCGAAACCTCTCTTGTTCCCAATCTAGTGCATGCATGGCCTCGGGTGGAGTTGCTCCCCCTTGGCCATCGGGTGGAGGTGCTCCCCCTCGCAACATCCGCCTTGATCCTAAACCCTGGCCAAAGCTTGCACAAACTCCAAATCAAAAGCCTGCAAACAAAAACTGGGTTCCACGCCTGAACTGTTCAAACCCATAACAAAGAATCCTGCATAATGCTGTCAAAAGCACCGAAAGCCAAACCGTGTTTGCAGAGGCTGAAGCCCCGAAAGCCAAGCAGTGTTTGCAGAAGCTGAAGCCCCGAAAGCCAAGCAGTGTTTGCAGAAACTGAAGCACCGAAAGCCAAGCTGTGTTTGCAGTCGCAGTGGCAGTTGTAGAATCTCGAGGAACGCTGGTTGTGCTTGGGACTGATTGCTTGAAGGCTTGCACCTGTTGGTCGGTTGTGTGCTTGGCTCGCAGTGGCAGTTGTAGAATCTCGAGGAACGCTGGTTGTGCTTGGGACTGATTGCTTGAAGGCTTGCACCTGTTGGTCGGTTGTGTGCTTGGCTCTGAAGGCTTGCACCTGTTGGTCGGTTGTGTGCCTGGCTTGATGCATGTGTTGGATGGTGGTTGTGTGCCTGGCTTGATGCATGTGTTGGATGGTGGTTGTGTCCCTGGCTTGATGCATGTGCTGGAGTGTTGGTCGGTCGGTTGGTTGGTTGCGACTGATTGCTTGAAGTGCCGCCCACCGTGAGTTGTAATGGCTGTTGGCGCCTCGCCACGCCGTACGTGTATATGTTTGATTGTGACAGCTAGTCAACAAAGACTCCTGCATAATATGCTTTCTACTAGTACTAGTACTACGAAAACCTACGCAGTGTAACAACCATAACCGGACCATAACCACTATACGTACCGTCCTGGATGCCAGGACTGCATAACCGCTATATTTACCGTCCTGGATGCCAGGACTGCAAAGATCTACTTGCAAAACTGATAAACTATTTATGTGCTGTGTATGCAGAAGCTGAAGCCCCGAAAGCCAAGCAGTTTTTGCAGAAGCTGAAGCACCGAAAGCCCAAGCAGTGTTTGCAGAAGCAGAAGCCCCGAAAGCCCAAGCAGTGTTTGCAGAAGCTGAAGCCCCGAAAGCCCAAGCAGTGTTTGCAGAAGCTGAAGCACCGAAAGCCCAAGCAGTGTTTGCAGAAGCTGTAGTAGTAGTAGTAGTAGTATTAGTAGTAGTAGTAGTAGTAATAGTAGTAGTAGTAGTAAGTGAAGGTTTGGCTGCTTTGCGCCACCCGTCCGGAGGCAGAGAACGGCCTTTGGCACCTCGCCACGCCACACAAATTCATTAACACCATGTTCGTACAGCCGTTGGCACCTCGCCACGCCACACAAATTCATTAACACCATGTTCGTACGGCCGTTGGCACCTTCACTAACCGCTGGGATCCCGAACCTTTGGATATATAACCGCTAGGATGTGAATTAACCGCTGGGATTAACCGCTGGGATTAACCGCTGGGACAATTAACCGCTGGGATTAACCGCTGGGACTAACCGCTGGGACGATTAACCGCTGGAATTAACCGCTGGGACAATTAACCGCTGGGATCATCAAATAACCGCTGGGATGTTGAAATAACCGCTGGGATGTTGAATTAACCGCTGGGATATCAAATAACCGCTGGGATGTTCGATTAACCGCTGGGAGCCCGGGATGGCCTACATCGGTTTGTGTTTAGGTCACGTCGGTTATTAACCGATGGGGGGCTGTCCAGGTTGAAGAGAATCTATACATCTCTCACCTGAAGACA